ATGGATACCTGCACTCACTGGGGTGTGCCGACTCCTGGAGGGGCCCCTTACGGCCCAAGCGCAATATCAAGTCACTTCGTGGCATCATAAACAAGCCCTCGGCTTCATATCAATATCAACAAGCCACCTCGTGGCGTACATATCGCAGGCCCTCGGCCTTACTCAGTCAAAAATCACATAAGCCTCTCGGGCATCAGTAAAACATTATGCTCAGCCCAAAAATATTATTTAAAATATCATTTAAGTATCAAACTGAGTAAACATGGCTGAGTTTTGAAAACAATGGAAAATAACATGACTGAGTTCAAGTATAAAGTCAAAACAGTGAGGAAATATCAACCAAAATCCCCGAAGGGTTCATATAGTTGGCACGAAGCTCAAATATGGCATTCAGCCCAAATAATGATGGAGCAAATAGATTTCAGTCAAATATGCGGTAAAATCATCAATCGAAATGGACCAAGTCACAATCCCTAATAGTGCACGACCCCACGCTCATCATCAAGCATGCGTCTCACCTCAATATAGCACTACGATGTGCGATCCGGGGTTTCAAACCCTCAAAACATCATTTACAATAATTACTCACCTCGATCTGGTCCAAACTCTAGCCCATGATGCTTGCCCACATGAATCGACCTTCGGATGCTCCAAATCAAGCCACAATCAGTACATAATCATTAAGATATGCTAAGGGAACGAAACCCACTAGAAAATATCCAATTTACATCAAAAATCCCGAAATTGCTCAAACCCGACCCCAGGCCCACGTCTCGCAATCCGATAAAAATCACATCAATAGAATCCTCATCCGCTCACTAGTCTATATATACCAAGAACATCAAAATCGGACCTCAAATGGCCCCTCAAATCCCCAATTTACACTCTCCAAATTCAAGCCCTAATTCTTCAATACTAGGCTTAATTCCATGATTAATTAAATAGAATCCACACAAGAATCGAGTATTGAGTTCAAAAATCTTACCTCTAAGTGATTCCCCTTGAATCCCTTTTCAATCTTCTTCAAAAAGCTTCGAAATTGACCAACAATGGAGGAACTTAGCCTCAAATTTGCGGAAATGTGTTTTTAAAAAATTCTGCCCAGCTATTATTTTTCCTTCATCGCGATCGCGAAGCACAATTACTCAGCTCCCAAAATTTACTCTATGTGAATGCATAAAACACCCTGAGAATGCGATGCTCAGCCTTTTTACACTACGCGATCGCGGACCCACTGTCGCATTCGCAATAAATAAAAAATCAAGCCAAGACCCCAGGTCCAAATAACTCTACTCGAACGCGACCTTCCTTACGCGTTCACGATCAACAATCTCCTTACCTCTATGCGATCACAACTAATCTTTCGCGAACGCATTGAACAAAATGGACTGCCCCTCAGAAAGCCCTACACGATCGCGAGAGCCCCTACGCGATCGCGAAGGGTAAAACTCTGCAACAGCTGAACCTGCAAATTAGCAACACCTTCAAGGCATGAAATGGTCCGATTGACCATCCAAAACTCACCCGAGGCCTCCGAGACCTCAACCAAAGGCACCAACATATCCTAAAACTTTATTCAAACTTGTACCACTCTTCAAAACACCTCAAACAATATCAAATCAACCAAAACACATCAGATTCAAGCCAAACTTTCTAAAATCTTCCGAATTCCATTTTTGATCACAAACCCAACCAAACCATGTCTGAATGACCTGAAATTTTGCACACACATCCAAAATGATACAACGAAACTATTGCAACTTTCGGAATTTCATTCCGACCTCTATATCAAAATCTCTCCTATCAACCGGAAAATGCCGAAATCTCAATTTCACCAATTCAAGTCTAAACCTTCCACGGGCCTCCAAAATGCATTTCGATCACGCTCCTAAGTCCCAAATCACCTAACGGAGCTAACCAAATCATAAAAATCCTGATCCGAGATCATATACCAAGAAGTCAAATCTTGATCAAACCTTTCAAATTTCAAGCTTCGAACTGAGAACTGTTCTTCCAAATTCATTCTGATTACCCTGAAAACCAAAACCAACGATTTACATAAGTCATAATCCCTCACATAGGAAAAGTCATGCCCGAGAACTAACGAACAAGGTGCAAAATCTCAAAACGACCGTTCAGGTTGTTACAGTACCGCTCAACCTTATGGGTGCCATCGACGAAGGGAACGAAACTCAAGATGAGCAGGTATCCCCCATGACATCCCCCAAGGTAGGGAAGTCACCAACACCCTTCTGTAGCACAACCAAACCAAATGGGAAAGAGGATTCCACGTCCGCAGAAGAGGAAGCACTACCCACTATGAAAAGGCTCCTCGAAGTTTGGCTAACCGACACTTTGGTCAGCATAATGGGCAAGCAAGCCATGCACAATCATGTAAACAGCAAGCATCCACTCAACACCACATAGGAACGAACGAGACGACTAACCGAACCCTTCTATTTCAGGTAACACTCATACAGTTGTTGATAGTGCAGGAGACGATGTCCTCACCATTGTGTTAAAGAGAATGGAAGAAATGAAAAATGAGCAAAACGCACTCAAGGAACAGATGAAGGAGGACCAAGAACGAGTAAACAAGATACCAGGTGCCCCTAAATTGCTACCAAAGAGAGATGTCGGTAGGCTCGTAGAACAACCATACAGGGAAATAATAGCCCCTCATGCCATACCAAAAACTTTCAAGATGCCCTCGTACCTCCGAATATTTGATGGAATGACTGATCCCGAGGACTATGTCACCGCCATAAAAGGCAACAACCTCACCAAAGAGCATGTGTCCTCCATCTTATTGAAATATTCGGTGAAACCCTCACAAGAGGGGCGTTGACATGGTATTCACAGCTGATAGCCTATTCCATAGAAACATTCAAAGATATGGCGGACAAGTTCGAGACTGCGGATGTTGGGTCCAAGAAAGCTTAAACAAGGGTGAATGATATCTTCGCCATCAAACAATCCCAGAGGAAGGACTGAGGGATTTCTTAGCCCGATTCAACAGGGTGAGGATGACCTTACCAAATGTCTCCAAAGGAATGGCCGTGGCAGCCTTCCAAAATGGGCTGAACAGAGAAGGCTCAAAGGTGACTAGAAATAAGCTGAGCTGATTGATGAAGTACCCACCGGCTACCTGATAAGTGTTGATTTTAACTACTTATTAGTACCTTCTCGCTTTAATTTTAGTCCGAATATGTTGATTTTTGTTCCCAAAAACTAATGAAATTGTGAAAATTGTAGGAATGTTGGAGAATTAAACTTGAGTGAAGAAATCTAACTCAAAAAGGAGTATTACGGCTCATAAGACAAGAAAGGCCGCAACAGGCCAAAAGTACGGTCCGCATAACAAAGCACAGACCACAGAATTCTCTATGTGGTCGCAGAACTGATGTTGATGCTCAGATGATAATTGATGTAAAGTGTGGACCATATACAATTTGTGCGGCCGCAAAACAAGGTCGCACTGACAAGAATTCAAAAAGTTCAGAGAGTTTGCAAAATGACCAAGTATGAAGCCTTGCCAAGAGTTCAGCCACACAAGGAAAAGTGTAGCCGCAAATACTGAAGTGCGGCCATCGACCAAATTGTGCGGACGCCAAAGTCTTCAACCTGCAAATCCAAGTGAAGTGCGGACCGCACATGGAATTGTGCGGCCGCCTATCCTCCCGAAGGGCATTTTTTCAGTGAATTTTGGGCCACTATAAATAGACGAGAATTACTTTTTAGGTCATGTTTGGTAGTTTTTTTAGCTGTTGCCATTGTAGTTTACCACTTTTGGTAATTTGTGACTTTTTTGGGTTAAAAACTCATTAGTTTATTATTTTAATTTGCTATTATGGTTTTAATTAGTGTTTCTTCTTTATTTTCTTCTATATCTATTATGAGTAGCTAGATGTTTTCTAGGATTATGACCCAATCCTAGAGTGTAAACCTTATGGGTAATTAATTTAATACTTATTTCTGATTGGGTATTTGTTATTTAGCTTTGTTCATGCTTTAATTTTAGAATAAATGGTTGCAAACATTGATTCATGCCTTTTTTACTTGATCTTTACTTGAGAAAGAGGGACCTTGTCTAGAAAAACTTGGCTAACAAGAAATTGGGCTAGTTAAGGTTTTGACTAGCCTAATTAAAGGGTTTGAATTAGAAATAGGAAAAACCCGACTTGAGTTCATATCAACTATTTGGATTGATACCTATTTGGGCTTGAGAAAGCCAAATTAGATAAAATCACTCTATGAAGGAGAGGTATTGAGTGGGTAACTTAGAGTTGAGAGCTATAATACACCCTGCTCACTAAAATAAGTGTTAACGTAATTAACCCATTAGGATAACACTTAGGCGAAGGTTGAATCCCTAGGCCTTTTACCTATTTGAAAACAACCAAAAATAATGAATCAATCTGTAGTTTCATTTCCCTAGTTAATCACTGTTAGTAGATTGTAGAAGTAATTTGCAATACTATCTTGTTTGGAAGCGTATTTAAGCTATTTCTTCTACACTCATCAAGTGTACACTCTAACACTCACATTTAGCTCCCTGAGTAAATCGACCCTGGCTCATAGTTCGGTACTGTACTTCCAACGACCTATTCCACACATTGTTGAGTGTGGATTTAGAGTGGATCACCACCTGGGATGAGATCCACAACGTCGATTGTGTTGAGGTCGGGGCAGATGATGAAGACCTCATTGAGCTAACCCGACGACTCACCTCAGTTAATCCAAACATGGGAGGGAACGCAGGGACAATGCAAGGAGAGACCCTTCAGTACAGTGACCAAGCAGAGACCGGCCTTAGCCTTATATCAGGTCACCCATCCCCAACTTCCACCGCGAAGATAGGTCCTCTAGGTCGAGATCAGATATCCACAGAAACGATCGCGGTATGCCCCCTAATATATACTCATAACTTTTTTGTGTCACCTACAGAGGTGGTTTACGCACTTGAGAAGCTCGAAACAAAGGTGAAGTAGCCACCAAAGATGAGGTCCGACTCAAGCACCAAGAAGTCTGTCACCTTCTATGAGTTCCACCAAAACCGTGGACACAAAACGCAAAACTGCCACGCTGTAAGATTAGAGGTGGATAACCTGCTGCAACAGGGACACCTCAAAGAGTTACTCCGGGACAAAGATGGGAACATATTAATAAGAGGTCGAGAACGCCTAGGCCTACCAAAGCCATCTTCTCCCGCTCGCACCATCAACATGATTATTGGTGGCACTGACGATGCATCTATCAACAACATCAACTTCACCGCCATTCACAAACTCAAGAGATCAATCACCCACGAACAGTATGACGGCCTCAAAGAAAGCATCATCTTCGATGAGTCAGATGCCGACGGTTTGACTTTCTCTCAAAATGATGCACTTGTCATTACTTCACAAATTCTTGATACTTATGTAAGGAGAATTATGGTGGATGATGGAAGTATAGAATGCATCATCCATCCTCAAGTCCTCGTACAGATGCGACTTGAGGATAAGATAGTGTCGTGCTGCATCACACTAACCGACTTTAACAATGTAGTTGAACAACTTCGGGAGAGATCACACTCCCCGTCCTCGCCGGTGGGGTGGCGCTAGAGACCATATTCCACACCATGTATCAGGACACAACATACAACACCATCGTAGGTCGATCATGGATACACCCTATGAAGGCAATCCTCTCTAGCTTATACCAAGTAATCAAATTCTCAACACATTGAGGAATATTCAGCGTACGAGGGAAGCAACGCACACCCCAAGAATGTTATCAGATTACCTTGGACAGTACGACAACCCAACAAAGGAATGAAAAATAAAAAGAAGCATATCAATCAGCATGGTCGAGGTCCATGCAGATCGAAGCCAGGGACATCATTATGGACGAAGAAATGGTCGAAACTGCAGGATCAACCATATAGAACCTCGATCCCCTCCATCTAGATCACAACGACCACAACAAAAAGGCCTACATCGGCTGCAAACTCCAAGACCTAGGTAAATTTAGTTAATTCTTAATAGCTAACGCAGATTTGTTTGCCTTTAGCCATACATATATGCTCGGCATCCCCAAAAGGATAGCCACTCACAAGCTAAATGTCGACCCCTACTACACCCTAGTAAGGCATGTCTGATTAAAGTTCAACCCTACTATCAATGAGGCCGTCCACGAGAAAGTAGAGAAACTGTTGGCCAATGGCTCTATAGGGAGTCGAAGGGCCCTAAGTAGATTGCCAATATGGTAATGGTCAAAAAGAAGAACAGGAAGTGGAGGATGTGTGTAGATTTCACCGATCTGAACAAAGCCTGCCTAAAGAATTCATTCCCATTACCACGCATCGACCAGCTCATTGATGCGACAACAGGCACAATGCTATATTTTTTGGACGCTTACTCATGCTACAATTAGATACTCATGAAAAAATAAGACCAAGATAAAACCACATTCATCACTCAAAGGGGAACATACTGCTACGCAGTCATGCCATTCAGGTTGAAGAAAGCATTAGCCTCCTATCAAAGGCTGGTCACAAGGATGTTCAAAACCAGATTGGCAAAACTATGCAAGTATACATTGACGATATGTTGGTAAAATCCGCGAAGGTCGAGGATCACATCAATAATTAAAAGGAAGCATTTGAAATATTATGGACGCATGGGAGGAAACTGAACCTCAAGAAATGAGTATTTAGTGTAACTTCAGGTAAGTTTTTAGGCTTCCTGGTATCACAGCATGGAATCGAAGTCAATCCAAACAAAATTAAGGCTATCAATGGGATATCGAAACATCTAACCATGAAGAAGCAAGTCCAAAGACTAACAGGTCGAATCGCCGCCCTGTCCAAATTTATCTCGAGGTCATCCAACAGGTGCCCCGGGTTTTCAACGTACTCAAAAAGGATAACGACCTCAAATGGAAGCCTGAATGTGTACAAGCACTGAAGGAACTCAAGGAATACCTATCATCGCCACCCTTACTCTTAAAGTTCAAACCCGAGGAATGTCTTCTTGTCTACCTTGCTATTTCAGAAGTAGCGATAAGTGCAGTCCTAGTTCGAGAAGAGAAAGGTACACAATATCCAATTTATTACATTAGTAAAACACTTAATGATGCCGAGACTAGGTATCCTCACCCCAAAAAGCTAGCCTTAGACCTTGTCATAGCTTCAAGAAACCTTAGGTCATACTTCTAGTGCAACCCAATATTGGTCGTCACCATGTTTCCATAAAGAAGCATATTGCACAAACCCGAGTTGTCAGGGAGGTTGTCCAAGTGGGTGATCGGATTAAGTGAGCACGACATCACTTATCAACCTTGCAAAATGATAAAATCGCAAGTGTTCGCCAACTTTAAAGTGAACTTCAGTGCCAAGGTAATACCCGAGGCTGAGGAGGAAGTCTGGTCACGCCCAACTATGCCTTATAAAAAGGATTAAGCGGTCGCTGCAAATATAATCCGATTCAAGTCCTGAGTCGAATCCCACAGGGAACAAACCTATTTACTACAACTTTCAACAATGCTAATGATAAGTTCAGATAATTTTCAGATGCAAGATTTTTAATGGATAATGAGTAGAATTTATTTAACTAAGGAAAAATGACAATAAAACTAGCAATAATCAAGAATAAAGTTGAATTCAATGGTAAAAGTATCTAGGCCTATTGATTTTCCCAATTGCCGGATTAATTCCTGACACGTTAGTTATAATTTCGCCGTAACACAATATAAGGATAATAAGTTCTGGGCTACCATAATTATCTCTCGATCAATTACGATAATTTACTAGAAGCATTCTCTCGAACTACTCTAGTTAACAATTTATACAACTCAGAAATATCCCACCAAAGCTTCGTTATCTCTAACCCCACTTTTAAATTCAAGTAATTAATCTCTTAACTTACCCGAAAGTGATTTTGTTCAATAACAATCTAACCCAGTGTTCTTTCTCAAGCAACACAAGGTAACTAGACACGATTAATCAATGGCCCTTTCAATTAATCACAGGAAAACACATGGATGAACAATTATAGAGTAAAAACAGCTCAATTATATCAAAACATAATGAAGACTTCATCCAACAATTGGTTCCATCAACCCTATATGACGGGTTTAGCTACTCATACTACTAAACAAGATTACAATGTAAAAAGTCATAACCAACAATGAAATTAAGAAGAAGAAGAAGATGAAAAACTCATAGAAGATTCTCCGTCTTGTTCCTTGTGTGTTCTTGCCTCTCAAAATATTGTGTCCCTCCAAAATTCATTTTTTTGATGTAATTATATCACTTAGGGTTGCTAAATGGCGAAATTCTCCAATCCCACTTCAGCTAGGGAAAGCTGGAATCTGCGTCTGCCTTCGTGCTAGACGCGGACTTTGACGCGGATCCGCGTCTGCCTTCGTGCTAGACGCGAACTTTGACGCGGATCCAGCTTTTGAAATTCTTCCATTTCATGAAGTGCTCCATGCCTTTTCTTTGCTTTGCTGTTTTTTGCCTTAACTTTTCTCCTTTTTCGCGTCCGACTTCGTGCCACGCACGAGAATAGACGAGCTCCCAATCCTTTAATTTCTTCTTTTTGTGTCGAATTGTCATCTTTTGATCATCTATCATCCAAACTTGTTCCTACACATAAGACACACATAATGAGTATATTTCACTTCAAAAACCATGTAATATTTCGCGACTCACACAAGAATTTATATGCAAATATACTCAAAAATATGTACTTTTCCTCATTTATCACCACCCCACACTTAGACTCTTGCTCGTCCTCGAGCAACTTAAAATTAAGCGCATAGGCAAGAAATACCTTTCAAAATATACTCAAGCATCACACCAATGACAACGGTTTATATCAATGCTTAGAACCCAGGATATGCACTCTTCATACATTTCTCAAGTTCTAAACTCATCCTAAGAGTATTTAAAATATTTAGGTGACACTTCTAATATCCTAGCCACAAAAAAATTGACTCAACTACATTTCTCTTTGTGACTCGCTTCTTGTGCAAACTAAAGATACGAGTTCCTTACCAATCTGCTGTAAAGCATGTGCCCTCGCCATCAAAACAATGAGAGTAATCAGTCCGCACACTCAAATATGAATTCAAGCATAATTTAAGGACTCACAGAATGAAAGAATTCACTCACTCTCATAAAAAACTCATATGTCCCCAGCTCGTACCATAGGCTTGCCCGTAATGTAAGTCTCTACTAATTTAAGCTCGCAAAATCTAGGATCAATTAGGTCTTCATGGGTTGTAATGTAGGCTATGGGACGGGTAGGATAGATATGGTTAGTAGTGACTAACCCTCCTAAGCACTTTTAATACAATACACATTAACCTTTAAGCACATCCCCTACATGATCACTCAACATATTGCTACGAAACTGTAAATAACATAGACCATTGACTTTAAGCACATCTACATAAGCACTAGCACATATCAAAGTGAATTGGAGTTTTTTTTTAAATCAATCTTTTCAACAACCTCCATAAATTAGTATTTCCAGCTAGTGGCTTTCTCAATATACACATGCACCTTTTGGACGTTCCATGGTTCCACTAAAAAAACTACCCAATCTCTTTTCCTTAACTTCTGGCGACTTAAGTGCTTTCGGAGGTAAAGGTTCAACAAGATTTAATTAAGAACAATGGGATTCATCTTGTACTATGGGTACCAAAAAAAAGGCTTACATGCTCAAATGGGCTAACAAAGGATAAATTTTATCACTGGTAGGCAGATAGACTAAAGGATCAACCAAAGAAAAACGCCTATATCATTTCCTAAATACACAAGACTTAATTATTTGCTTCGACACACACACGGGGCAAGTTCTAGACTAACAATGAATGGCATAGAGTACAACCAAAATCTCACCTCCCATAATGCACATGACTTACTCAGGACGGCTCAGACCCGACTCTCAAGTTAAAGCAACTAGCACAGTTATAATATAATCCAAACACTAGGAAGTAACAAAAGGAGTCAATAGACGAGCCCAGGCATCAAAAGAAACACATATACTCTCAAGGCATATAGTCACAAGAATAAAGAAGAAAGTACTCAGTGCAAATGCTCCAGCTCTAAGCCCCAACATAAAATATATCAAAAAGCATAGATACTCAAGTTCTTCCCATTCCATTATCAGTAAAAAAATAAAAAAAAACAAAAATAAATAAAAAAAGTCTTTTTGCATTTTTCTTTAGACTTTAAACCCTCAAGAAAACTGTCTAGGCAATCCATCATCGGGCAAAGTCCACAAATTATTTTACATGGTTTGATAAAGAAAAACTACCTACGACTACCCTATTCAAGATAATGGCATCCTCGGAAAAGAACCGTGGTTTAAAAAAACCCAGGATTACGCCAACAAAAAGGTGACTACAATTATACAATTACAATGGCCTTCAGTGTGATCATGACAAAATGTATCACTAGCAATTAAACACATGCCACATCAAATTCTGACACCCTTACCCCACTCTTAAGAGGGTGTGTTGTCCCCAGTGCACAGTATCACAAAAGGAAACAATAAATAATCAATAGTAGAGTGGGTGTCAGAAACTCCCTCATCATATCTCAGGCTGCAGGTGGGGACCGGTAACACCCTCGGTCCGCAATGTTAATGGATCCTCCAATGTGACATCAGATGTGTCAACAACTACTATCATCTCACCCTCCCTAGTTGGGACAACCTCCCCAATAGCCACCTCTCGAACCTCAGTAGTTGTGCCATCAGTAGCACTCAAAGCAGACAATTTTGCATCCACCGACTCCTCAAATCTGTCTGGATTCCAATGCATCATACCTTTCTCTGTCCACGAACAACCTAGAGCAACAGATTGAACTGCTCTCGCATGCACTGATCTCTAGTCTCGTGTGCGGCTAGCAAAGCACGGTCTCGTGTCTCTAACTCTGTTCGCAACTACTGAAGTGCGCCCTCCATATTAGTGATGCACTCACCATTGACCTTTTTCTTTATAGTTGTTTCTGATGGGACCTAAACAGAGCAAATATCACGGACTTCCAACTCAGTGCTTCCACGAATCTCATCATCATTCTCAGTCAATTTGTGTTTGGAAAAGCAACGCGGTCAAAGTGTGCACAAAGTATAGTGTCCATTACATGTTCTTTCTGGTCTTTGCCATTTGAATTCGTATGATCACTCCAATATTCACCGAAATATCTGTCATGAGGGCATATATGAAGAATACTCGCTCACAAATAACCATAGACTTGTGCGTTGCTGGCATGAATCTGTTGCAGACCCAAGTCAACCATATTTGAGCCTCTCTGTTCATGTACGTCTTTGCCAACCCATCAGCTGCTTGCCACTGAGCTGGTCCAGATCCCCCACATAGCACCTCAAGTATGTGGTTCACATTCGGTCTTTATTCTCCTACAGTACTCTAAGTCGGACTGTGCAGGTATGCGGTAGTACTTATTTATTGCTGAGGCAGAGATATCAACTTGAGTCCCACAAACCCAAACAATGTCAGTGCCCTTGTCAGGGTCAGTTTGCATACAATTCACACACAAGAGTCAAATTTGCTACGCCCTTCGGTCCTTGAGCAAAGCGTGTCCACCCATTCTGCTCTATGACTCGCAAAATATCTGGAGAACTTGACTTGGTAGTCTCAAAATTCAATGATCTTTCAAACAGTATCGGATTGATTTGCTTAGTATTTATATGCTTCCATTGTTCCACGCACTTTCACTCACGAACTTCGTTTCCCATATGTTAGTAGCACTTGGAACACTCGGCTCCCCTTCACCGTCGGGAAACTAAATCGCTGCCTCCTCCTCTTTAGCTGAGTCATCTTCAGATTCAGACTCGACAACCCTTGTCGCCTTGCCCTTTCCCTTTACCTCAGCTACTTTTTGTTCTTGGTCGGTGATGGTTTTGAAGCCCCCTCTCTAATTTGTAGTGGAACCTCTCTTGGCCTTTGCTGGAACCTCTCTAATTTGTAGTGGAACCTCTCTTGGCCTTTGCTGGAACCTCTCTAATTTGTACTGGAACCTTTCTTGGCCTTTGCTGGAACCTCTCTAATCTGTACTAGAACCTCTCTGGAACCTCTCTAATTTGTACTGGAACCTTTCTTGGCCTTTGCTGGAACCTCTCTAATCTGTACTAGAACCTCTCTGGAACCTCTCTAATTTGTACTGGAACCTCTCTTGGCAAAGATGGTCGTACTTGACATGCCCTTTGCTGTATTTATGCAGGCCCCTCATTGCTTAGATAGGTGGACTCAGGGTCCATTTCGGAAGTTCCAGTCTTTACCTTATTATGCCTAGCCTTTGTTTGTGCCTCTATGTTACCCTTCTCTGCTACATTCTTGTCAGTTGGTGATTTCTTTGGGGGTGACTTACCACTACCACCAGCTCCATGGCTTCTAGTTGGTATTTTCAAGACGGCCATATCACCTGCAAAAGATACAAAACACATATTAGTATAATGTGTAACATTAAGTCATAGTGGTATACATTGCACCCCATACTTAGCCTGAAAGTGTAAATGTGCAACCAGGGTACAAGTGCCTACTACAACTTAATGATAGTGATTTAAGATTACTTAGCATCATTTAAAATCAAATGGGTAGGCTGACGCACACGTCGCACGCGAGTCGTACCGAAGTTGGCCGCGGGTTGACATTTTTTCTAAAATGAATGCAATTTAAGTGCAAGACGGTGTTATTTATTGCACTAGGACTATTAGTTTAGATCAATTTTCTGTGGTGTTAAAAATATTTTCATTGAAATTCTCATGTTTGAACTCTTTTGTGACGCAGGTGAATGCCTAGAAGCTCTTTGACAACTAGTGAACTCTTTGAAGGACTCTCAGATCTCGAGAAAGCATTCTTGGCATTGAACCGGGCTAACAAGAAGAGCAAATAGCTGAAATAAAATGAACAAATTGAAATTGAAATGGGTGACATAGATAACGTCAACAGGAACAATAAGAATGATCTAGATGACCCAAACGTCAAAGTGGTAGCACCTCTTGTGCCAAAAGCTGCTCGTTATGATTGGGCACAACCAATTGCGGATAACCTGGCCACATAAATTGTGGTTCCTCATATACAAGCGGAGATATTCTAGGTTACCAACAATATGCTGCACCTATTGCAGAATAAATGGTTGTTCTTCGGTCATACATCGAATACCCACAACAACATCTGAAGAACATTCTATCAATATGTGTCACTCAAAGACAGGCAAATGTGACCCCTGAGGCAATCAAATTATTACTGTTCCCATTCTCAGTGGATGTGGAGGATCAAACTTGGCTGAATTCACTCCCAGTAAAATCCATTGCTACTTGGGAGGAACTAGTCAAGCAATTCTTGAACAAGTTTTATCCATCGAACAAAACTATGAGGCAGATTGATGAGATATTGCAATTCAGGCAGAAACCGACTGAGACTTTACAAGAAACATGAGAGAGATTTAAGGGTATGTTGGTGAAGTGTCCTCACCATGGCATTCCAGATCAGATACTGGGACAGAGATTCTATATGGGTTTGGCTGACAATCTGAAGGCCAATGTAGATGCTTCTGCCGTGGGTGCATTCTTGAGCAAAACTTTCACAGAGTGCAAGATTCTTCTTGACAAGATGTCTCAAAATTCAGGCTGGATGACGAGAGACACAACACTCACTCCAATAGTTCATTCTATTGCTCTTGACCCAAACAATACACATGCAGAAAACATAGCCACTCTTGTGACCCAAATAAGGTTGTTGACAAAGAAAATCGATGAGATGGGTACGAAATAGGTGCACATTGTGTATACCACAAATGGAGGCTTGTGCACTCCTTGCATAAACCAGGGATTCAGAGAGGACATGAATTATATCAATAATTTTGGAGGTCAAAGGCAAGGTGGGCAGCAATGGGGACCAACAACAAACCAGCAGTACAAACCAAACCAGTCACAACACAACCCCAATCTAGGAGGAGCACGACCACAAGGCCAAGTCATGCCTTATCAAAGGCAACATGGCTATAATTACCAGCACCAACAACAGTTGACCTGCCAATCACCTCATCAGCAGCAAGATAGTAACATGATCGAAATTAGGGGTATGCTGTAACAACTCATTGGGACAAATGGAAAGATGCAAGAGAGGTTAGCTGCACATGATTCAGCAATCAAAGGCATTAAAACTCAATTGGGATAGCTATCTATGGCCTTGAACAATCGCCTACAAGGAACATTGCCTGCAGATATAAACCTTAATCCAAAGGAGCAGAACCCGAATCAGCTCATGGCAGTGAGTCTTAGGAATGGGAGAGATTTAGACAAGGAGCAAGAAGTTGCTGAAGCCAGGAGAGAGACAACGCCACCTACTCCAGCTATTCCAGTTACATTAGAAACCGATGAGTCGTCAGAGCTCACCAAGGTTGTAATCGAGCAAGCACAAGTTGACAAGGGTAATGAGAAGAAAGGTGAACAACTCCCAGAACAGGTAGTAGAAAAAGATTCCAACAAAGAAAAGACACAAAGCAGTGGGCAAAGGTTGATTACTGTACCATTCCCTCAGAGGTTAGCAAAGCAAAAGAAAAATGATCAATACATGAAATTCATAAAAATGCTCAGACAAATTCAATTGAATATTCCACTAATGGATGCTTTGAGGGAAATGCCAGGGTATGCAAAAATGATGAAGGACCTGATGTCGTAAAAATTTGACTTCCAGGACCTGTCCACTGTAACTCTGACGCAGACCTGTAGCGCGGTAGTGATAAGACCTATGGCTCAAAAGGTGTCTGATCCAGGTAGTTTCACTATCTCATGCACCATTGGGAGTTATGCTTTTGCTAAAGCATTGTGTAACTTGGGAGCTAGTATAAACTTAATGCCCTTGGAAATATATACAAAATTGGGCATTGGCAGAGCTAGACCAACCTCAATGTTGCTGCAACTGGCTGATCGCACAGTGAAAAGACCGACTGGAATTCTTGATGATGTGCTTGTTCAAGTGGGGAAATTTGCATTCCCTATAGACTTCGTCATTCTTGACTATCAAGTGGATGAAGAGATACCAATCATTCTGGGTAGGTCGTTTTTAGCCACAAGGAGAGCATTGATTGTGGAGACTAGGGAATTGAAAATGAGGTTGAACAATGAAGAAATCATATTCAATGTTCATCAATCTATGAGGAGACCCAGCGAATTTGCAAATTGCTCACTAGTGGAGGCCGTAGATGTGATACTACAAGAGGAGGATGAGACTATTAATGTCAGGGATCCGTTAGAAGCTTGCTTAATGAATATGGAAAATATGGATGGTGAGGAATTGGTAGAGTGTCATGGCTCTCGAAGGTCAAGGGTTCTGGAAAAGGGAGCCCGAGTTTGAGCCCCTACACTTAGAAGAAAGAACATCACCACCTGGGAAACAATCGATAGAGGAGCCACCATAGTTGGACCTAAAACCGCTTCCAGCGCATCTCAGGTATGCTTTCTTAGGGCCTAATTCTACTTTACCTATTATTATATTATTCGGTTTGCTAGTTGTGCAGGTGGAGCAACTCCTTAGGTGTTATAAGAATGTAAGACTACTATTGGTTGGACCATGGCAGACACGAAGGGTATCAGCACAACTTTTTGTATGCACAAGATTCTCTTGGAGGAAGTGCACAAACCTTCCAGGGAATATCAACGAAGGCTGAACCCGAATATGAAAGAGGTGGTGAAGAAGGAAGTGATCAAATGGTTAGGTGCGGGTATTATCTTCCCAATCTCTGACAACAATTGGGTCAGTACTATCCAATGTGTACCGAAAAAGGGAGGAATGATGATAATACAGAATGAGAAGAACGAGCTAATCTCAACTCGTACAGTCACGGGGTGGCAGATTTGCATGGACTATCGGAAACAAAACACAGCCACCCGGAAGGACCATTTCCCCTTACCTTTTATTGACCAGATGTTGGACAGGTTAGCTGGGCGATCCCACTTCTGTTTCTTGGATGGATACTCGGGGTATAACCAAATCTCAATAGCCTCGGAAGGTAGAGAGAAAATGTCTTTCACTTGTCCTATGACATCTTTGCCTTTCGGAGAATGCCCTTTGGACTTTGCAATGCACCAGCTACAGTCCAGCGGTACATGTTAGCCATTTTCACTGATATGATTGAGGATATTATGGAGGTGTTTATGGATGATTTCTCCATAGTGGGGGATTCATTTGCAGATTGTCTTCACAACCTAAGAAGTGTGCTCAAAATATGTGTGGAGACAAATCTGGTGCTGAATTGGGAGAAGTGTCATTTTATGGTACAAGAAGGAATAGTATTGGGGCATCGAGTGTCCAAAAAGGGAATTGAAGTTGGCCAAGCCAAGGTTGATGTGATTGAGAAGATGCCGCCACCCACTTCAATAAAGGTAGTGAGAAGTTTTCTTGGGCACGCCGGGTTATATAAGCGGTTCATTAAGGTTTTTTCCAAGATTGCTAACCCCTTATGTAAGCTGCTTGAAGAATATCAGCCCTTTGTGTTTTATGATGATTGCATGTTGGCCTTTGAGGAGCTGAAAAAGAGATTGGTGACTGCACCCATCATTGTTGCACCCAACTAGGAGCAGCCATTCGAGCTCATATGCAACGCCAGTGATTATGCTATAGGAAAAGTCTTAGGGCAACACAAATACCAGATGATGCACCCGATTTACTATGCAAGCAGGACGCTCAGTGGTGCACAACTTAATTACACTGTCACGAAAAAGAAAATGCTCATAGTAGTGTTTGCCTTCGACAAATTCAGGTCGTACTTAACTGGCTCAAAAGTTATTATTTATACTGACCATGCAACAATTAGGTACTAGATAGCAAAGAAGGAATCAAAGCCACGCTTGATTCATTAGATTTTTTTGCGACAAGAATTCGATCTAGAAATCTATAACAGAAATGGGACAGACAATCAAGTGGCAGACCACCTCTAGAGGTTGGAAGGAGCAGAAAAAAGAATGGAGGTTGAAGATATCACAGAGACATTCCCGGATGAACAGTTACTTGATGTGACAATGGAGGAGGCGCCATAGTATGTTGATATTGCTAATTACTTAGCAAGAGGTATTGTACCTTATGATCTATCCTCAATTTAAAAGAAAATGTTCTTCCGTGAATGTCGATCTTACTATTGGGATGAACCTCTACTTTTTAAGATATGTGTTGATAACATGATCCGGAGGTGTATCCCCGAGAAAGATCAACCTTCTGTTTTGCAGGCTTGCCATGCTTCACCATATGGTGGACACTTTGGAGGAATCTGGATAGCAGCAAAAGTGTTGGAATTGGGATTGTATTGGCCTACCCTATTCAAGGATGCCCATGCTTGGGTCAAAATTTGCGATTAATGCCAAAGGAGAGGCAACATATCTCGCCGTCATGAGATGTCAATGACCACAATTCAAGAGGTGGAGGTTTTTGACATGTGGGGGATAAACTTTATGGGGCCGTTCGTCATCTTGTATGGTAACAGATATATATTGGTGGCAGTGGACTATGTATCCAAGTGGGTTGAAGCAGTGGCTCTCCCAACCAATAATGCAAAATGGGTGACAAGTTTCCTAAAGAAAAACATCTTCACAAATTTTGGCACCCCGAGAGCTATAATCAGTGATGGTGGAACCCATTTTTGCAATAGAGCGTTCACACGCCTGTTGGAAAAGTATGGAGTTCACCACAAAGTAGCCTCACCGTACCACCCACAAACAAGCGGGCAAGTTGAAGTGTCCAATAGGAAAATTAAAAGTGTCCTTACAAAAATAGTGAATACAACAAGGACCGATTGGGCGAAGAAGCTGGATGATGCATTGTGGGCGTACCGCACAGCATTCAAAACTCCAACTGGTATGTCACCGTACAAGTTGGTGTTTGTAAAGGCATGCCACCTTCCGGTAGAGCTCGAACATAAAGCACTTTGGGCATTGCGGCAGTTGAATTTGGATATGGAAACCATAGGCTCCAGCAGAACACTGACAAAAATCTAACCCAGTGTTCTTTCTCAAGCAACACAAGGTAACTAGACACAATTAATCAAGGGCCCTATCAATTAATCACAGGAAAACACATGGTTGAACAATTATAGAGTAAAAACGGCTCAATTATATCAAAACGTAATCAATACTTCATCAACAATTGGTTCCATCAACCCTAGATGACGGGTTTAGATACTCATACTACTAAATAAGATTACAATGCAAAAAGTCATAACCAACAATGGAATTAAGAAGAAGAAGATGAAAAACTCGTAGAGGATTCTCCATCTTGTTCCTTGTGTGTTCTTGCCTCTCAAAATATTTTGTCCCCCCAAAAGTCATTTTTTGATGTATTTATATCACTTAGGGTTGCTAAAGGGCGAAATTCTCCAATCCTACTTCGGCTAGGGAAAGCTGGAATCAACGTCTGTTTTCGCGCAAGACGCGGACTTTGACGTGGAACCAGTTTTTGAAATTCTTCCATTTCACGAAGCGCTTCGTGACTTTGCTTCGCTTCGTTGTTTTATGCCTTAACTTTTCTCCTTTTTCTCTACCGACTTCGCGCCACGCACGAGAATAGACAAGCTCCCAATCCTTTAATTTCTTCTTTTTGTGTCGAATTGTCATCTTTTGATCATTTATCATCCAAATTCGTTCTTAAACATAAGACACACATAATGAGTATATTTCACTTCAAAAACCATGCAATATTTCGCAACTCACACAAGAATTAATATACAAATATACTCAAAAATATGTACTTTTTCTCTTTTCTCAAAGTCTCTCGAGCTCCTTACTCTTGTATACCGACTGTGCATCCAATGTACGCAGATCCAGACTAGGACTCATGCTCATAGTCCCCACTGGCGAAGACGTTTGGCAATCTATAAGGTTCATATATATGACTAACAATGAGAGTGAGTATAAGGCTACAATTACATGATTGAGACCAACAATCAAATATGAGGCGAGACGTCTTAATCTACGCTGCGACTTTCAGCTCATCGTCAACCAAATTATCGGGACTTTTTGGATCAAAGAGCAATGGTTGAAAAACTATTAGACTGAGATATGCAAACTATTTGCCAAATTCGACGAATGCAAGCTCGACCTGATTCCACGAGCTCAGAATGCCGAGGCGGACAACCTCGCCAAATTGGTCACCACAACCAAAAACATAACTTCAGGGATAGGAGCATGGTGCATCTCCTTAGCTCGGCACTACACCACATCGAGGTAAAATTTGTAAGCCTAACCTGGGACTGGCGTAATTGTATTATAAAGTATTTACAGGATGGTGCCCTCCCAAATGACAAAAAGGAAGCCCGGAAGTTAAAAATGCAGGCCTCTAGGTACAACCTCCTTCACAATAACTTGTATGTGAAAACGTACGGCGGCCCCTCAGCAAAATGTTTGGGCCCGAATCAAACCCAACACGTTCTCGAGCAAGTCCACTACGACTGTGATTCCAGTGACCGAGCACTGGTCAGGTGCCTCATACTGGCAGGATATTATTAGCCCACCTTGAAGAAAGACACCCAAGAAATTGTAAAGAAATGAGAGCAGTGCCAGCAGTATGCCCCGATAATCCACCATGCAGGAGAACATCTCCATTATGTCACCTCTCCATGGACATTTCATTAAGTGGGGAATGGACACCGTGGGACTGCTTCCTCTAGGACAATGTAATGTTAAATTCCTTTTAGTTTTGACTGGTTATCTCTCTAAATGGGTAGAAGCAGACGCATTCACCCAAGTTTATGGCAGTTTTGACTGGCTATTTCTCTGTGAAGATTCTCTCTTTATTGAGTACATACAAAGTTTACCTTTATACTCATTTTCCCCATCTTTCTCTTCTGATCTAAGAAGAATCAAAATATTCAATTACTTATCATCATCCATCATTGTCAGAAAGCTCAGTGGAAAATCCCACCCTTGTCGGATGAACCTTGTTCCATTTATTACTTAAATGTCATTTATTGTTATTTATTGTTATCTCTCACGTTCTTAAGCCATTATTGCTCCATTATTGCTATAAGACATTCTTATCGTACAGCACACGTCTAATGTCCTTCATAAAAATACTAGAGCTGCTACTTGGATATTAATATTGACTCGGATTAACCCTCTTCTCTATAAATCTAATTGTATAAAAACCTAGATCTAAATTTTAGGTTATAAAAGATGACTTCATTTTCACTGCATATCCGTATATATCCATTGTATATCCATGTATTCCCTTGTATCTCTTGTATGTCATATGTTTGTGTATACTGTGAAAGTATGTGTGTGATATATACATGATATACATTATGTGATATACATTGTTGCCATAATGTTTTCCAGACCGATTTCATCTTTGAATTTTGACAAAGACAT